TTCATTCAAATTGTTCTCCCTGTGACTTCCGTATCGGGAGCTCCGCTTTTATATGTATATGTATATTTATATGTAAGAGCCAATGTTGGATAATCGTGAATTCCAGTGTGACGTGTGAGGTAGTCGATGCTTCGATGGATAATCAATCAAACAAAGTCTTCGCCAAATAGCCGGCACGAAGTACTCTCATTTTAGGTCGAATTTTGAGAGCGTTAAAATGATCCAATGAAAATGAAACTTTGGTATTATGATGCTAACATATTGTGGTTAATGTTGCGAAAATAAGAAAAAAATCCATCGGGCCGTTTTCATCAAGCTACATTTATGCTAGTATTATAATAAATTAGCTGCAAAATACGGCTCATAGTGACCTCAAGTCTATCGGATATTTTGGAAAATCAAATGGCTCTATTTCTTTTAATTTTCTTGTCATTATTCTTCATATTATATTTACTCTACTATATAAAGCGCGATTTCAAGACTTAGGTCAAAATATGGAGAAAAAGAGCAGTGAAGCAAAACCACCAACGCTGACTAGCGGCTGTGAGTTAAATGCGATTTTCGTGAAAACTTGTTCGTTCTATCCTTCTATTAAAACCTGGGAAAGTTTTATTTTCTAATGATTTGTTTGCGTCCGCGAATATTGCGCTTCGAAGTTAAAAGGTAGCGCGCCGGCATTATCCAATCAAGCCACCTTAAATCCTCATACAGATCTCCCGCTCATATTGTATATATTAAGTATTTATAATTTATTTAGTCATATATTCATATTTAAGTTGTATATAGTGTCCCCAATTAGTAGTCTTTTCAGTCGGCTATTTTTCTTAAATTGACACTTAAATAAAGTTATGTTATTATTATTATTACTATTATTATTATTAGATGATGTAAAAGCTGAGAAGAGTGTGTAGGATGTGAGAATGATTACCCAAGTCATGGGACCATGCCTGCTGCATGACTGGCGATCATGATATGATATATATGAGACTTGTGCGAGCAGTTTGTTAAACGTTTAGACTTACCTATGACGGATGAATGGGATGCTTTTGCACTGAACCTGCCAAGTATAAACTCTAGTGTGGCAGAGATGATAGCGAGCGATTCGATATCATTCCCTGGTATAACATTCTCTGGTGGATTCTGTAAATGAGATGTGTGATTCCAAGCAGAAAGGTCACTCACTGTCCTCAGAAATACTTGATGAGTTTGTATACACTATTATAATGAATTGAATAAAATCAATCTTTTCGTAGATTGATCATGATGAGAATAAGTGTTGTGTCTGACTTCGAGGGATAAAGACATGGGTTGTGGGTGTTTAAGTTCCTTCCCTAATCTTAACCTCCAAAACATTTTCAAACTGAAAGCTCGCTGTGTTCTCGCGTGTTGTGATGGAAAAGTGATCATTGAAAATTCACAGATTGATTGAGACCAACCGTTTGAAAAACTGCATTACTGGTACAAGATCAATCAAGGAGGGAGTCTCGGATGCGTCAATGCCTTATACCATGCTGCCAAAAAGAAAAATAAGAAAATCACGAGAGAGGTTCAAGAATGGTTAAAAGGGCAGAGGGTGTATTCTCTCCACAGACTTGTTCAGAAACATTTCCGTAGAAATCGCGTGATAGTCGGATCAATAGACGCAGTCTGGGAATTGGATTTGGCCAGTTGACATACCAATCCCTCAAGAAATACAATAGCAATTACAGATATATGCTCAGCTGTATTGATGTGCTGTCGAAGTATGCATGGGTGGTTCCCATCAGACAAGAGCGGCCCGACTCTAGTCAAAGCCTTCAAACAGACATTAGATGAATCGGAGCGTAAAGCCCAAAAGATTCATTCTGACCGTGAAAGTGAATTTACGAATCGATTATTCCAGTCGTTTTTAAAAGAAAAGAACATTGGATCTTATACCTATAACTCAAACATCAAAGGCTCTACTTCACGTGGAAAGGAACCCTAAAATATTTAGATGTGTTACCTGATATTGTAGATGCATACAATAATTCCTATCATAGGAGTATTAAGAAAGCCCCAGCCTTGGTGAATGAGAACAATGAAAATAAAGTGTGGCGAACTTTGCATAGAAATACGTTGATGAGAAGACCACCCTATAAATTTAAGATAGGAGATGAAGTGCGCATATCCAAGTCTAAGAAACTGTTTGAGAAAGGTTATCAAGCTAACTGGAGCGAGGAAATGTTTACTATTTCGAAGCGCATCCCTCGTAATCCGCCAGTTTATAATTTGAAAAAATTTGACGGGGATGCGTTAGAAGGAACCTTTTATGAACGAGAACTACAACGAGTAAACACTGAAGGAGATCAAGAAGTGTAGGAGCACTTATCGAATACCCCGCAAATGATATGCAGTTGTCGAAAATCTTTGAAGAACGACGCTACAACAATAGATTTCATGGTCATTAAGTATGCGCATTGCGGTAATAGCTGGGTCTTGATTAGTGATATTGAATAAAGTTTAATATATTTTTAGGCACTGACTAAAACCGGAGCTCCCGATACGTATGTCACAGGGAGCCCAATTTGAATGAAACTGAAAGGCAAACCATAAAAAAATATCCAATTATTTTTATTCGAGATGAAGATAATGTATCCCATAATAAAAACCATGCATTGAAATCGAATCAAAATACACTACATTGTTTTCTTTGCGCGAGTATACTCTCCTACTTAGGAATTTTTTGCACAACTCACCACCAGCACCCCCAGGGGCTAGTTTTGTTCTTGGAAGATTCTTCGGCAAAGTTTTCCATGGCCGACATTTTTAAGCTTTGAATTCCTGTTTAATTTTGCATTTACTTTTCTCTATTGTCGACATTTTTTTTGGTTGGTTTTACTTTAAAAACGAAAGATAACTATACAGATAATCCAACACATTATCAGGTTTAGTGAAATTTACCGTGGATGTCTTTCATTGAAATCGAAATTTTGGAGATTCCCGAAGTTTTTTTAGGACAAATCAAGACTATAAAACAGACTTGAAAATTGGTTAAGGTGAGCAAAAAATAAGCTTACTTACGTCTTTAGAAATAGCTTTCTTATCCTAATTCTCCATTAAAGTATTTTTTTCTTTCATGTAAGCCTTAACTACTTTTCAAGATGCTTGAAAACTTAAGCTTACTAGATTTTGAGATTCGATCTTACCAGTTTTCGTCTGTGTTTTTATGTATGAGAAAGAACGACAAAAGATTTCAAAAACCAAAGTTTACATTCCGTTAATGACAAGAACAACTGAGGCAAAATAGAAAATAATGCAAAATGCAGTGCAAAATATACAAAATGACGAATTTCTTTGTCAGTAAATTGGCATTTGTAGATGTTTTTGAATATTTTTTAGATTTTTAAAGTGAAAGTATAGGTTTTTATACAATAGGATATCTCCACAACACGAATTTCAGCTCATTTGTATAATCATACTTGCTCGAACAGCTTAATAAACAGTTGAATATTTGGTGTCATTTTATAGTATTTGCATTCAATATTTAAATAAATTATCTGTAGAAAGATATGAAATTATTGAATGAAAGTCTTCTTTGGTTTGCCGATATAGGAGGCGAACAAAGCTGTATTTTTCCTTTTTCTTTCAAATTTCAAACATCAAACATACGATAGCTGCACGTACGTACGTACGGAAGTGACGTAGTAGTCAAGCCATGAAAAATCAACTTGATGGTTTACCATTTTTTCTTTAGTATGGTACTCCGCTTGGGAGCTCCGCTATAAAATCAAATGTTTTGTGTAGTATATTCATTTGACTCCTAACAATCATGACGTCAGTTTTGATGTATATCCAACCTAGACACTATTGCAGTGTTCACTCGGGCTTCGTTGAGGAAGAACGGCGCGAGAACGCCTGACTACGACATTTGTACCCCTAGATACAATTAGAAGAGATGCTGCAAAAGCACTTGAGTATTTCTTGCATAACAAAATAACGCTGCGCAGTGATTGCGTTACGTGATCTTGTTATAGTTAATATTCAAACATGCGTGACTTCTGCTTGCTGTTTTTTCTTTAGATAAATTTCTAAAGAATACAGTACCTTCAATTAATTGGTACTAAAACATCATTATGTTCATGTACATTTGTAAAATGGGTAACATCTTCTAGTATGTCACAGTCACCAAGAGTATTTAACACGTCTTCTACTAAGCATGTGCAATTCCATACGTAATTCAAACCAATGTTCGCAATCGCTTGTACGATATAAACACAAATGGTTATTTGTGCAAAATCAAATCGTATTTTACGACTAACAGCAAAAACAAATAAATGAATCAGGATTTTTAACAAAAATGTTAGACTTACATATTTACTGTTCAAGTTGCTTCGCTGACTATGTTCCATACCCAATATGGCGATTTACTTGTCGTTTGCTTCACCTTTGAATTCTGCTCAAGGTGATTTTCTGTTATTTCAACATCTGAAGTGTTCATTTCAGCGTCATAGTTTTCTGCTGAGTCACTAGTCATAGTTTTGGCAGTCTTTTCGAGGTTTGTGCTCTCGAATATGGCTCATTTGTTACCTCGTGATGAGAACTAGTATGAATTTGGCTAGTAAGCTTACCTGTTTTCAAAGATTTCAACGCCTTCAAGCTATAAGATTCGTGGACCGACCCGTTCCGAAAAAGTTCTACATCTTTTAGTGTGGGCATAGCACTTTCCAAACATTCTTTACGCAACAACTTTATAATCGAACGAACCGAAGCAGAAGGAACTGAACGAAGGAAGCAGGAGATTCTCTTCCCCAGCTCCCAGCGACTCAGCTACGAACGCCAGGGAACATGACCCCCATTTTGGCGACCAAATACGACTAAAGAGAAAGGCCTGCATTTTTAGACTCGGGTTCCTGCGGAAGCCCGAGTAATAACACTCTGCCCGAATAGAGTGAAATTACCCGAGCGCGTGGATTTAGTGGGTGCTTTGGAAGTAGGGCTAGACTTCATTACCTTTCCCCACACCATCCAAGAAGACCTATTTAATGGTGGATTCCAACGCTTTTAATGTAAGTTTTACCAAAAACTCCTACAATTTTAAATTGTATGGAGCAACGTCCATCAGTCTAATCATCGAAGGAGAACGGATTCCATTCAAACCCATTACTTTAAAAATCGCACGAGCCAATGACATGAACTTTATGGAAGCGTATCAGATGCTATTATCTGGAACTGAGAGGCTGTTCGTAAACTCTGGTATAGATATCGAACGACAAGAATACAACAAAGGCTATGCCATCCTCCTCTTTGATTTAACCCCAGATCTCTGCGGTTCCTCGTCACATTTAAACCAGAAACAGAAGGGGAACGTGTCTCTGAAGATTCAGTTTAGCACAAGCCTGCCCAACGCCGTCAACCTTATTGCATACGGAGAATTTATATCAACAGGCAAGATTGACTCTACACGTCACGTGATCTATGACTACTCAGCATGAATACCAACCAGATAGAATCCGTCATCAAGAAGGACCGTACGACCGTACGAAATAAATTTGGAAGCGTGTTTTGAAGAAACCGCTTTCCACATTCAACGAACCTTTACCTATGCGGTAACACAGCAAATACAGACCCAAGCAACCAACCAGGAAAACACTGGGTGGCGTTTTATTTTATCACCCCAGAACAAGGGCAATTTTTATGAACATCCACCCCAATTGTATAGAAGTTATTTTGTAGATTTTCTCAACCAAAATAGTAAACACTGGAGTTTCAATAAGAAAGAACTCCAAAGTACATTCACGGCAGTATGCGAAGAGTACATCTCGAAGGAATAGTTTGAACATGGCCTTCCAAAGTCGGGGTTTTCTACCTCTCTTCTCAGCACTGTTAATCTCTTCCATCCACAACCCGTGTAACTTGGCCACTAGATCTTGTGCCTTGTTTTCGTCAGACAGCTCCAACAGATTGTCATCAGCGAGAGGTCGCTGGTATCCAAGTTTCAGGAGCCCGTTTAACCAGGTAAAGAAAAGATAGGAGAAAAGGCCAGTTTTAAACGCCTTGGAACCGGTTTCAGAGGCAAGGCGTTGATATTATCCACCCATTTATCATTTACGGATGTCTCTCAGGATGATCTTAAGTACAAAAGAAGGTAAAACGTGTAGTCGTTTAGAGAGATTAGGATCAAGTTGCTCAGTTCAGTGAACGAATTGGCAGGAGCGTACACAGCAAAAAATGCTTTTTTTTTCAATTTTTTCAAGAGAAAGAAGGAAGACAGACAGTCGAAAAAAGAACTTGTTTAATCATACGTGGCGGACTAATTCGGAAATATGCAGAAATACTCCCTCAGTAGAGATAGATTATACATGTTTACATACAACACTGAGCCTGAATGGCTGTCAAATAGTCTCACCCATAACTGATCTCCTCGGTTATCCACAGCAAATCGGTGTCCATAATAAAAACCCTGAGACATCCGCTTTAAAAAAAGTTAGAATCTCCCGTACAGCTTGTGCTGCAGGTCTTAGGAAGATAATTTCTATATAAGTTCAATTCTTTTTTCTTTTTTTTGTTGTTGTTGTTGTTGTTGTTGTTGTATTTGTTGTTGTTGAAAATCTTCTTCCAGCTTCTAATTGATCGGGCTTCCTGTGAAAGAGCCAGAGCTATGAAATTGTCTCCGTTTTTCTTCATCGTTTTAACACTTACTGTTTACAGCCATTCTCAATCACACGCGCCCTCTAGCAATTGTTTCTGTCGCGACGAAAAAGGTTTTGGTGGACGTCAATCACAAGGCGTTTCCATAACATTGTCAGAAACACAAAGCTATAAGGGCACGTGCCTATAGAATTTCATGGAAACGCCTTGATTGACGTCCACCAAAAGCTTCTTCGTCGCGACAGAAACAATCGCTAGAGCGGCACGTGTGATTGAGCAGCAGTAAGGGGGACTCGCGAATCGCCGGCATTGCCAAAAATCACRAATCGAAAAACCCCAGGGGGGGTGGGGTTTTTGGAGCAGTGACGAGGCCCTACAGGGGGTCTTGCGCGATC